TTCTGTTAAGCTTTAGGATGTGACAGATGATAAAGCAAACAGATCTCTGTCCGCGCTCAAATTATTTTTGGAAAAAACAATTTACATATTCAGAAACTGCATTTAAATCTTGAAAAAATTTACATATTCAGAAACTGCATTTAAATCTTGACAAAGTCACAAAAACCAGAATCAAATTTGATAAAAAATTGATATATAAAATTAGAGATTAAAAGTGATTTGTGTTGACCAAATGAATTGGAACTGGGGACATCAAATTAGGACGTAGGTAGTACTACATTCATCCAAAAAAGACGAGGTGAGTGTCAATTGAGTACATCAATTTGTGTGAGATGAAGTAAAGAGTACACAATATTGCACCCATCCAGCCCCACTTCAGTTACAGTCCGTCTACTACCCGACAGTCCTTGTCCGCTCCGATCAATGGGACAGAAAGAAAATAATTAGTCAAAGTAGTCATTGAGACCGACCGGTTCGGTCCCAACTTTCCCCTACCAAGGACAGGGTACCCTATTTGGGTTGTACCAGATTCGGTTCCGGATCGTGGCCGTACTTTCGGTCGATCCCAGAATCGGGTGGGAAATTTTAGTGAGCATGTTTTCAGATTTGAAATGGAAAACTGAAAAGTGAAACAAAAAATTGAAGAACGGAAAACTGGAAAATCAAAACACAAAAAAAAAACTGGAGAACGGAAAACAAAAAAAGGAAAATTGGAAAATATGTCTATCAGTAAACAGGACCTAACTTTATCATCTCCTAAAATTTGGGCCATTATTTTAATTAATGGCCAAATTTGAAAATTTTGGGCATTTTACCCATCTTCTGCCCGTCTTCTTTTTACTTTCTTCTACACCTCTAGATCTAAAGACAACATACTATCACACCTCTTAATGTAGACCAAAAATTTCGGTAATTGCTACTTTTGTGATTCTAGTTTTACTCCACTTCCATTCTAGATTTTCAGTCTCCTAAGACCCTTTTGATTCTTCATTCCGATACTTCGTTATTGTCAATTTGTAATTCGTCAATTTTATCCACAATCGAGTTCATCCGAGGTTGGTCTCTCCGAAATTCTAATTTTTTTAGCATATCAGCCGGGGGAATCATGAGAAGCGCGGATGGAGTCAATAGATTTAGCTCTACGATTTTCTACGGATGTAAAATTAAAAAAATACAGAGTAGTTAGAAAGGAAATGGTAGAAAGAAAGTAATGGAAGAAGAAGGATGACTGAAATGTAAGTTGAAACCAAAAAAGTGGAAATAAGATTAAAGAATATGGCATATTGAAAGAATGGAATGAAAAAAAAATGGATGACCATGGAAGAGGAGTCTAGGTGACAGAACTAATTTAAGAAAGAGAAGAAGTAGATGAGAAAGATGAAGGGCTGGTAGCCTGGCACGACATGGATATTTAATTTGGGGTAAGAATACATCACGTGGGTGCAAAGGGTATTCTAGTCTTTAGTGGTTGCCATTTTAACCTAAAAAGGAAACGTTGCATTTATATTGAAACTTCCGGAAAAGGCAAGTGTTGCATTTATTTAAGAATGGAGGAAGTATATTAATTTTGAAAACTAAAAGATAAGGGGGGCAAAAACATATGTATCTAACTAAAGTATGAAAATTTTATGAAAATATTACATATATTTTAGAAAAATTTGAAAGTCCAATTCGGCATTGATAAAATTATGTGTATTAGAAATTTAAAATTTAAAATATATAAATAACTTAAAATAATAGCATGTATAGCAGCACTAAGATTGGCTCAATCGGATGAATATGCTATAATTGATGAAATTTTGAAGGAAGCGGCTGAATTGGCTTGGTTATGATTTGTTTTTTAATATATTCGTAGTAGTTTATTAATAAAATAATGAAAAATATATATGAAAATAGCTAAAATGATAATCTGCATAACTTAAGCCAATTTGGTCTGAAAAGTGATTACAGATGAAAGGGAGAATGTTTAAAGATGAAAAAAAGTTTTGGCTTAGGTCATAAATGAAAAATCATACTCCGTAGGTAAAAATGATCAAACGGGTAATTTCCACTTTATTTTACACCTTACCAGGATGACACCCCTCCCTGAGGGCCCCCCAACACCGACCGGACAGCACGATGGGAGGATGTAAATTGGACTATAATTACAATCTGGCAGGTAGAGAGTGAGGCTCAATATCCAGTACTTGCAGAGGCCCTGTGCATTTTTAGCATAATAAGCTCTCATCGCAGTTGACAGAATTCGAACCCGGGACCTAACCCTTGTGTCACTCCCTCTCCCTCGCTACCAGTTGAGTCACGCCCACAGGTTATTTTACACCTTACCGGATTGCAGTCTCATAAAAAAACAATTTTTCTATTGTTACACACTCTCTCTACTCACACATACACACCATATATACCCAAAAAAATAATTTACCCCCTTTCCCTCCCCTCATACAATTTCACACGTGCCACACTTCAAAAAAACACCCTCTCCCGATTTTATTGCGGATCCCCCACCTTCTCTCTTCCTTCAAACTGCCTAACCTTCCCCCTTCTTCCTCCGATCAATTTTGCTTTGTTCTTGCGATTAGTCCCCGTCGCTGGAAGGTCTTCGTCTCCGCCAACCCCCGACGAAGTCAACCCTCGTCCCTGGCAACCCCACTCGTCGAAGACTAGCCTCGTCCCCTGCAACCCCCGTCGAAGGCATCCCGCCAACCCTCCGTCGAAGGCAACCCTCCTCCACGCCAGCCCCCGTCAAAGGCGACCGTAGTTGCTGCGCATACCAAGGTCCAAATCCTCCTCCCCGTCTCAGTCGAAAATGATGCGAACCCCACTTTCAACCATGGACGAAAGGTATGTATCCTCTATTTGGGAACTTTTACAGTTTTAGGCTAGTTGATGATGTATATTTGGAGGGTCAAGCAAAATAATTTTGTTTATGAAGTTTTGGAACCCATCTATTGCTTCGATTTTGAACAATATGTATTGTCTGTGTAAGGTTGATTTTATGCTGTTGGAGGACATATCTATTGTCTGTGTGAAGATAGATTTCCCTAAGCATTTGTCTGTGTGAACTTATATGCAATTGGCTCTGGCTCCATTTGTCTGTGAAGATTTATATGATTGTCTGTATCACTCTACATATGTGTATGTGTGACTAATATGATTGTGTGTACTTCTACACAACGATATAAGACTAAAACAAGTCTTGTTAAAGGAAAGTTTTAAAAATGAATTCACTTATTAAAATATAATTAAAACACATTGTGTTAACTTTTTTGCAATATAATGTCATCAACTTATTTTCATAATTAAAACACAATGAATAGTCAACATCTTTCACTATGTCCACTCGTGAATTTGTTAGATGCACTTATTCTAATACCCGGTTCATGTCATTATTTTACTTTTGACACATTTTCCTTTTTTTCTCCTATACCAAACTTATGCACACTTTCTTAACTTTACATTCACTAATATTTGAATTTAAAATGTGCTTCATTCAATCATTTGTATTTTTGTCCCTTTAAAATATCTCCTTTATTTGTTAAAAACTTGAGGGAAAAAGAATGATGAGTTATCATTGTATACTGCCCTGTATAAGATCAATCATAGCAATAAATGAGCATTTGGTATGTGGTGAGAGTATGAATATAAAAATAATACGGAGTAAGTAGGATTCACTTCAACCTACTAGATGTGAGGGTGGATTCAAACTCACTGGGGGTATGAACTGCAAGTTTTTAGGATTCACTTCATTAGAGTGCTCAGCCCAATTTCCTGAACTGATATCATAAGCTGAAGCAAAGACAAAGACCGTCCAATTTCTACATTAGTAGTGCATTCAATCTATCCCTTTCTAGGTTCACCCCATGTAAAGTTTAATTTTTGAAATTCTTCAACAGGAGAATTCATTAATTAACTTCACAAAGGGGAAAAAGTGATAACTGCATACGAAATTAATTATCCCAACTAACTTAACAACAATTTCCAAAATGCTAGTTTGCTAGAGACTACTTGAATGTCCCAATTAGAGGTGTCATGTAAATAGAATAGTTATGCAACTATAAATCCGAGACCAAAGTCAGTAAACAACCAAATTAATAGCTTCCTACAAATTTCAAAAAAGGAATACTTGTCTGTATATAATGAATAAAATCCAAATTACAGTCCAACATTATTTTTGATACAGATGTCTGTGTGACTGATTATTTGTCTATGGATATTATTTTGTTTGTACACAAATACAATTTGTCTGTGCATGTAAATATAATGTCTGTATTAATTCTTTTGTGTCCAGGTCCGGTGTTTGCGGCGTCATGGTTATGGCCTTTGCCGAGCCACTGTTGTAGAAGTTGTCATTGCTGCCGAGTGTGCATATGAGAACATGGCGGCAAAAAGATGTGAATATGCAATGAGGCTGTGGACTTTGAGGAAGCGATCAAATTAGACAAGTTTGGGTGTGCATGTTTATTGTAGGATGAGTTTCATTGAAAAACATTTATGTAACCTTATTATATACTCCGTACATTTTATTTTGCTCAGATTTTGCCTGCATGGGTTTGGTTGTTAAATGTAGGAGGTTGTACAATGTTACACTATCAATGTTGTACAATGTCCTAGAATGTACTCCCAAATATTACCTGAATTGGTATGCCTTTTTGTTTTTTTGTGGCAATCACTTAATGTTTTTGGTGTTGATATATATAAAGGATGCCTTTGTCTGTGAAGAAGAGAAACCGTGTTTATGCTGTAATACGACTTCGTCTGTGATTTTTGTCATAGTTGTCTGTGCTATGTACATGCTCTTACATCCACTTCAAATATTGTTAATAACTACTTTATGTAAATTAGTAGTTCTAATTTTTATTACTTTATATTGAAAAATTATACTAAATCTTACTTATTTTGATAAAGAATTGGTCATTAAGATAATAATAGAAGATATAGATTATAAAACTAAATTTGTGCTCATGGGTAATTTTTTAATAACTACTCTCTATGTATCCTTTTTGTATAGTTAAAAAAAAACACTTTCATAAAGAAATACATTTCACAAAATGTGAGGTAACACATTTATATCTACCCAGAAACATGTCTTGTGTTTGTGAAGACCAAAGAGTTTGTTTGTGTCCTAATACATAAATGTATATGAATGTTCTAATACATAAATGTTTTTGTCCTAATACATAAATGTCCAATGCCATGGTCAGCTGTAGCTTGTGAGGCACTTCCATTTTCATTCCAAGCCCTTGATTTCTTCTTTCCCTTCTCCAAGGGTCCTTTTTGACGGTTTTTCCTCGGAGCACCCTTGCACTTTACACACTTAGGATCTCTAATGATTTTTGGAATCTCACCTTACACACGACTACTCGGTTGTGGGATAGATGTTAGGTTGTCACATATGGAAGACCCATAAACTTGGGGAGGAGTATATGTGGACAATTGGATCTCCAACCAAAGAAGAACACTTTGGTACTTCTCATCATCGACATACACCGCTTCTTTGCTATCAAATTCTATAACGACATCCGGAGCTTTTATAGAACCAACGTCACTCTCATTTTGCTGAATTTCTCCATCTGATCGACATTCACGTATTTCAACGAATAAATAATGTGTCGATGTCAACATGCAAGCAATGAGGGAAGTGTATTTACTCACACGGGCAGAGCTATATTTACTCACACAGGCAGAGCTATATTTACGCACAGACAGAAGTATATATACACACAGACAAAATATATTCACACCCAGACATTTCAAACCGAAGTATATTTACGGTGGTATATTTACGGACAGACATAAGTGTATATATACCCACAGACAAAAGTATGTTCAGACACAGACATTTCAAATACAAGTTTATTTACACAGACATAAGTTATTTTATTACATTTTGAACACAGACAGGATTATATACACTTCACAAACACACAGACGATATTATGCACTACACAAATACAGAGAATTGTCTGCGAAGAACAAAAATATATTTAAGTTCAAAGCCAATAAAATCAGCTAACACAAACTCATACCAAGCTCAGGGACGTCGTCCATGGCCGTCGCCGCCGCTTCTCCGTCAAGTTCAGCCGCTGCCGCCGGTTCTCGCTCAACCTTACCCGCCACCGGAATTTCTCCTTCACCTCGACAACCACCCCTGTTTCAAGCCATTCAACCCAAAAATCGTCCACCGTAGTGTCGATGATATTTTCATTCACAAAGCTGCCAACATCCATTTTTTTCGAAGCCTCAGATAGTTGTTGTTGTTGAGCTCTGCTGCGGGAAGAACGGATGCTGGAGTTACGATTTTCAGAGGGGGAGTTGTATTAGTCACGTGAGGGAGGGGTAAAAAATTGGTAAATTTTTGGCCTTTTATAGTACTTGTATGTGTGTGTGTAAGAAATTTGTATACCCCAAGCCCCATTGTAAAAAAAAAAAAATCAAGTGCAGTCTGCACCGAACGTGGCTGTCTAATTAGAGGAGACGCGGTCGTCACTTCTGACCTTCAGCCGGCGTCGCCACTTGCCGTCGGCGAGTCACAGCAAGTAAGCAGCTAGGCTTTCGTTAATGTTGAGCCCCTACAATTCGCTGGGAGATGAACTCCTCAGCATGAGAAAGGCAAACCAATCATCAGCGTGACCTAATAATACTTAACCCCCCCTACATTTTCACTGCAGCGATGGGATCGCGATCTGGAGCTGGGACGCCGAAAGGAGATTCCGGTGAAGAGCCCTTCAACGCGACTTTATCGTTGAACTTCGGCACTGCGGAGGCTCTGGAGCACGTGCGTCAGCTCACCGATGTCGGAGCCATGACTCGTCTTCTCCACGAGTGCATCGCCTACCAGCGGGCCCTTGATCTGGACCTCGAGACCATTCTCTCCCAGCGCTACGATCTCGACAAGCAGCTTTCAGGCTTGCAAAAATCCGCTCAAGTTCTCGACACTGTCAAGGACAACTCCGATCACCTCCTCTCTAACGTCGGCTCCACTTCTCTCCTTGCCGATCAGGTGAGTGCTAAGGTCCGCCAGCTCGATCTTGCTCAGTCTCGCGTCAACGATACCCTCCTTTGCATCGACGCCATTGTCCACCGCTCCAATTGTCTCGACGGCGTCCAAAAAGCCCTAGACTCTGAAGATTTCGAATCCGCTGCCAATTACGTCCAGTCTTTCCTCCAGATCGACACCAAGTACAAAGACTCCTCCGGCTCCGAACAGAGGGAGCAACTCCTGTCCTCCAAAAAGCATCTGGAAACAATCGTCCGCCGGAGACTTACTGCTGCTGTGGATCAGAGAGACCACCCCACTGTGCTACGATTCATCCGCCTCTATTCACCACTTGAACTGCATGAGGAAGGCTTGCAGGTGTATGTGGGCTACCTGAAGAAGGTTATTGCTATGAGATCTCGACTTGAATTCGAGCAACTACTGGAAACCATGAACGAGGACCCCAACCAACAAGCTCTCCGGCCAAATCAACCCCCCCTCAACTTCACGGCTTCACTGACAAATCTTTTCAAGGACATCGTCTTGGCTATAGAAGAAAACGATGATATTTTGAGGAGCTTATGCGGAGAGGATGCTATAGTCTATGCCATTTGCGAGCTTCAAGAAGAGTGTGACAATCGGGGTTCCATTATTTTAAAGAAGTACATGGAATACAGAAAATTAGCTATTTTGACATCAGAGATTAACTCTTACAAGAGCAATCTTCTCTCATCAGTGGGAGTTGAAGGGCCAGACCCGAGGGATATAGAAGTCTATTTGGAAGAGATATTGTCTTTAGCACAATTAGGTGAGGATTACACAGAGTACATGATTTCAAAGATAAGGGAATTGAGCTCTGTTGATCCTGAATTAGTTCCCCGAGCCACCAAAGCTTTCAGGAGTGGTAATTTTAGCAAAGTGGTTCAGGACATTACAGGTTATTACGTCATCTTGGAGGGATACTTCATGGTTGAGAATGTTAGGAAGGCTATAAAGATAGATGAACATGTGTTTGATTCGCTCACAACATCCATGGTGGACGACGTGTTTTATGTTTTGCAGAGCTGTTGTCAAAGATCAATATCCACATCGAATATCAACTCCGTGATTGCTGTTTTAAGCAGTGCTGTGAGTTTATTGGGTGGGGAGTATAACGAGGCTTTACAGCAGAAGATAAGGGGGGAGTCTAATCTTGGGGCGAAGTTGTTCTTGGGAGGTGTTGGTGTCCAAAAGACAGGTACAGAGATTGCGACAGCTTTGAACAACATGGACGTGAGCAGCGAGTATGTGTTGAAACTACGTCATGAGATTGAAGAGCAATGTGCTGAGGTTAGTTAGTGTTTTTGGTATGAATCTAGATATCATTGCCTAGTTTATGCCATGATTGTGATAGGTGAGATACCTTGTTAAATCAGACAACAGACAGTTCTTTACAATATTTGCCCTTTCCCTTTATATTCACTGTGTTCTTATTAATGTTGCTTATCGTAACACATGAAGATCAACATGCTCACTGATAAATGTATTCAACGCATTGTAGTTCTTTTACATCCAAATGAAGTGATGATAAAAATCTACTTTTGTTTACTGTTTTAAAGGGAGTTCGTTGATTTGCATGGATGTATTTGGGAATTTGTAGTTTATTCCATATTCCCATTATCATAGTAAGCTACATAACTTGAGTATCAGACAATGTGTAATGCTAGAGGAACACTATGGGTTTCTGCATGGTTTACACCCTCTCCATGAAGTTATGATTACTGTAACTACAAATATTACATGTTAATTCATGCAAGGACATACCTGTTGGTTCATATAGTTGGTGTACACAATGAGGTAAACCATGAGAACTTTATAGCATTTTTCAATAAACAATAGTGATTTTCAACATTTTCTTTCCCTTTTCATCCACTATCTCCCTACAATTGCATATGGTAACACCTAAAGATCACGATCCTTCCCAAAAGCTTTTAAGATCATGATGATGTAGGAAAAATGACAACATTGGTAATTGCGTTCTCCTGTTTTATCCTATTAAATGACTTTGTGACCCATGTTTTATTTCATGGAACATAATACCCGTAGTGGAATGCAAAGTCAAATATTAAGGAAAATCACGGAGAACAAACTCTTACAAACAAAGCTGAAAAGCCTAATAGAAATGACTCGCTTTGGGGTGCCCTAGTTGCATACTCTCATAAAATAAAACTTGGGATTCAAAGTCAAATATGGGAGTAAACCATCTGATGGAAATACCAATTTTTCTAAGAATGAAAATTCAGGATGAAGTTACCAAAAATATTCAAGCTTTGTTTTGCGTTGTTGTCTTTATTAATGAGATTTCATTCGTGGTTATTTGCCAGGTATTTCCTACACCTGCACATAGAGAGAGAGTAAAATCTTGTCTCTCTGAACTGAGCGAGATGAGCAATAGTTTCAAGAAGGCCTTGAACGTTGGGATGGAACAACTTGTAGGCACAGTAATGCCTCGCATCCGGCCTTTGTTAGACAGTGTGGCAACCATAAGCTACGAACTATCTGAATATGAATATGCTGAAAACGAGGTGAATGACCCGTGGGTTCAACGCCTCCTCCATTCCGTTGAGGGCAATGTGGCCTGGCTCCAATCCTTAATGACTACCAACAATTACGACTCCTTTGTGCATTTGGTCATTGACTTTCTAGTCAAAAGGCTCGAGGCAATCATGTTGCAGAAGAGATTCAGTCAGCTGGGAGGTCTGCAGCTCGACAGAGACGTAAGGGCATTGGTCAGTTATTTCTCTGGGATGACTCAGAGGACTGTTAGGGACAAGTTTGCACGGCTTACACAGATGGCGACAATATTGAACCTGGAAAAAGTGTCAGAGATTCTTGATTTCTGGGGTGAAAACTCAGGACCCATGACTTGGAGATTAACCCCAGGTGAGGTGAGAAGAGTGTTAGGGCTTAGAGTTGACTTTAAGCCTGAAGCCATTGCTGCTCTTAAGTTATAATAATAACAGCTATAATAACAGCAATGCCCCTTTTGCTACATGGCTGCTTCATTCAATTGTCATATTCAATTTATTCCTTCCCCTCCGGCCTCCCCGCTCACTCTTTGGAGTCTATATGTTTTTGTGTTTTACTAGGGGATAGATGCATCTTTAAATATAATAAACTGCCTTTTTGGAATGTTATTGTGTAAAAGCTCTATACAAATACAACCATTATTTTATATCTTATTTCCTTTTAGAATAATCTGTTTTTTCATAGATGAATCATCTTTTCAATCAACTACGTGTCTACGTCCTTCGTTAACTTCAATTATTGATTGGATTAAAAGAAATTGTCCTAAATTAGAGTTGGCCTAAATGTGAAGAAAAAATAAGGTTTTCTTAAATAAAAGTACTATGTTTGTTCTCCGAATAGGAACAAGTTTTGCGTCAAGAAAATATGTCTAGTGTCATAATGTGACCATGTGAATTTAAGATGACAATATAGTGCTTCTATGAGAAATTTCATTAAGTAATAAGTAGAAGTAAAAAATAGACAAAGTGCAAAAATAGAATTATGGACTATTATTATTCTTTTCTTATTAAAATATGATGCATTCACTCCTAATTGATAAAGTTTTATGTTTCTCATAGAATTTAATAAATACTAGTATTATTTTAGGAATAAAACATAGTCACTTCTATTTGTGGATTGTGTTTATGTTTTACTCATATTTTGAAAAAAAAAAATCTTTACTTTTCTATTTAGAGAAAATATTGTACTCCCAATAAAAGCAAATGAGAACTGTCAAATAAGCCATTACTTAGGGCTGGACTCGGGCCGGGCGGCCCGACCCGGGACCGAACCGGCCCGGTCACTGTTTGGCCCGGCCCGGCCCGTGGCCCGGTGGGTCCACCGGTTCGGTTTGGCCCGGCCCGGGTGCTGGGCGGTCCGGGCTCGGGCCCAGGTTTTGGTGAACCGGCCCGGCCGGTTCGGGCCCGGTCCGGGCCGGATTTTAATTTTTTTTTTCTGAGATTTTTTTAAGTTTTAGGTTGGATTATGTATTTTGGGCCATTTGAGGTGGTTTGGGATGGTTTGGGGTTGAGGGGGAGGGGTAGGGGATTAAATAGGAGAACAAAAAAAAAATTAATTGGGCCGGTTCGGCCCGGCCCGGTTTGGCCCGGAACCGGCCACCGGCGGTTCGGGCTCGGGCCTCCCCTTTCCTGGCCCGAGGCCCGGCCGGGCCCAGGCCCGAACCGGGCCCGAACCGGCCCGAGTCCAGCCCTACATTACTCCATTAGTAGGACTGTAGGACACTCAGTGAAATTGTGTTCCTTCTTCTCTTTATCTTGCTTCTCGTTTTTCTACCCTCTATATTTCTACGACAACAATGAATCTCAGTGGTGGACTCGGGTCGGGCCGCCTGGCCCGAAACTAGCACTGTTTGGAACCGGCCCGGCCTGGTGGCCCGGTCGAGACCGGTTCGGTTAGGCCCGGCCCGGGGTTAAGTTGGGCAGGCTCGGGTCACCCAAATTAGGAACCGGCCCGGCCGGGCCCAGTTCGGGCTTTTTTAATTTGTTTTTTTCATTTTTTTTAAATTTTCACGGGTTGGGCTGGGTGGTTTGGGGGTGGGGTGAGGGGGGTCGGGGGTTAATTAGAAAAGCAAAAAAAAAAAGAATCGGCCCGAGACCCGGCCCTGCCCGGACCCGGTGGATAACCGGGCCAGTTCCGGGCCTCAATCATCTTCCAAAAAGCCCGGTCAGGCCCGGCCCGCGACCCGGTCAATTATCTTTAGTATTAAATTTTGTTGTTAAATAGTTGCTTACTTTTGATATGTTCATCGCGTTCAAATGTCTTGAAAAAATTTTGATATCATCCTATTATCAATATTATGGTCACCCACTGTGCGGGCCCGGAACCGGCCCGGTTCTCGGGTACGGGTTCGGTTCGGGTGGGGGTGGCGGGTCCGGGCTCGGGGCTATGTTTTGGCGACCCGGCCCGGCCGGGTCGGGCCCGGGTTCGGGCCTAACGGTCACAATTTTTTTTTTAATTTTTTTTTCTTTTTAAAACACCCAAACTTTTGGGTTGTTGACCCACTTCCCAAACAGCTATATAGCCGTTGGGTGGGTACCAGGGGGGGGGGGGGGCTTTTGGGGGGTGGGGGTTAAAAAAAAACCTATAAATACTCCTAATTTTAAACATTTTTTCACACCTCTTCTCCAACTCTTCCTAAATCCTACATTCATACTTTCTACTCTCTACTCATCTCCATATTCATCTTCTCAAATTCTCTTATTCTCCATTATATTTTATTTTACTATTTAATACTTATACAATTATTATATCTACTTATATATTAATTATCTACTTATAAATACATATACTATATTACTTATATTTCTTATCTACTTAATCTCTACTTATTATCTACTTAATACATACATACATACATACATACATACATACATACTACATCTACTTAATATATACTTTATATATTAAAGTATTAAATATACTTTATAAACTATTAGTATATACTTATACATAATAATATCTACTTCTCTACTTATATTTCATATATACTTATTTTCTTATTCTTCAATCTCCAATTCTCCATTATACTCTAATATTTAATTCTTATACAATTATTATATCTACTTATATATTAATTATCTACTTATATCCACTTAATACATACATTCTACATCTACTTAATATATAGTTTATATATTAAAGTATAAAATATAAGTGTATTACTCATCTTATAGTAGTATACTTATATATTATATACTATAAACATTATATTATATATTAGTTACACTTTAATTAATATCACTTAAAATCATTCTATTACTCATTTACTCCCATTAATTAGTATACACATTCATACATTTGTCTTATTACTTACATTTTTATTAACATTACTTGATTAGTTAATTAGTATTCTCACTAATTGTTACACTTTTCATTATACTAGTTAATTAGTAAATTAGTATTCTTGTTACATTTTTCATTATACTAGTTAATTAGTTAATTAGTATTCTTGTTACATTTTTCATTATACTAGTTAATTAGTTAATTAGTATTCTTGTTACATTTTTCATTATACTAGTTAATTAGTATTGTTGTTACATTTTTCATTATACTAGTTAATTAGTATTCTTGTTACATTTTTCATTATACTAGTTAATTAGTTAATTAGTATTACCATTAATTGCTAAAACAACTCTACTTCAAAAAACTAGTTAATTGTCATTATACTTAAAGTCACATTCATACATTTGTCTTATTACTTACATTTTTTATTAACAATACTTGAATACTTGATTAGTTAATTAGTATTCCCACTAATTGTTACATTTTTCATTATACTAGTTAATTAGTATTCTTGTTACATTTTTCATTATACTAGTTAATTAGTTAATTAGTATTCCCATTAATTGCTAAAACAACTCTACTTCAAAAAACTAGTTAATTGTCCTTATACTTAAAGTCACATTCATACATTTGTCTTATTACTTACATTTTTTATTAACAATACTTGAATACTTGATTAGTTAATTAGTATTCCCACTAATTGTTACATTTTTCATTATACTAGTTAATTAGTATTCTTGTTACATTTTTCATTATACTAGTTAATTAGTATTCTTGTTACATTTTTCATTATACTAGTTAATTAGTATTCCCATTAATTGCTAAAACAACTCTACTTCAAAAAACTAGTTAATTGTCATTATAGTTAAAGTCACATTATAATAGTTTCAATTTATATTTGAACGAAAAAATAGTAGTTCAATCGTTTAATTAAAGTACTTAACATTTTATTTAAGGAGTTCAATCATTTAATTAAAGTACTTGAAAAGTTGCTATAATTTATTTCGGGTTCGAATTTTAATTTGTATTTTAGAGTCACACTTTAATTATCTACTTAATTAAAGTACTTCACATTTTATTAAAGTAGTTTGCACTAAATTAGTTTGAAGTATTAATTAAAATAGTTTTAATTAGTTGCATTACTTTTGTATTCATTATTATATTTGTTGCAAATTAATATTTGTTACATTTTTAAGATGGAAGGTGGTAGATATTCGGTTGATTTGGGTAACCTCGAGCGCAATCGAAGGAACGAGATTGGGAGGAAGAAATCCCGCAAAGGTAAAGAACTTGCCGGCTCTTCATCTCAAAGCCGAGATGATTTTGAAACGGGTTACCAAAGGAGATGTGGAGATGCGATGTCCGAAGAACAACTACAACAAGAATTGTCCCGACATAATAACCACTTTCTACAACAACAACAAATCTTGACGACCATTGACGAAGAGGAGCTTGAGGATAAAGATGCGGAGGAAATGGAACCGGAGACGGCCGAGGAGGAGGGTGCCGGCAGCCATGACGCCGACGAGTCTGCCTCATTCCAAACTGCCACCGGTAATAAAAAAAAGTAAATCTGAACTAATGAAAAATAATTTTGATAAATGGAAGGACCCACAAACCGGTTATTGGCACGCAACTTGCAAGTGGTGCAACAACAATTATAGCTTGGGGACCTCCGGCGGATACAGATCCGCCGCAAGACATCTTAAGGCAAAGCACCCCGTGGAGTATGCAAAATTAGGCGGCGGAACGGGGAAGCAAACTCAAATATCGAGGTTTGCGAATTCTTAACCTTTTGGTAATTTCTCATACAATGATGCACAAAATTTGACTGGTGTGGATAACTTAATTTGTGAAGGAAATTTGCCTTATATGTTTTCTGAAAGTCTTGCTTTAAGAGATTATGCACAAGGTAGTTTAAATCCAAAATATAGAGGTTATAGTCGCAAAACTGTTAAAAAAGAAATTATAAGGCTTTATAAAGCGGAAAAGGCAAGGTTACAAACTTTTTTTGCAAACTTTGATGGACGTGTTACTATTTGTTCTCACATATGGGAGGATGATTTTCATCATTTATATTATTTGGGTCTGACTGCACATTATATTGATGAGGATTGGAATATGCATAAACGTGTTCTTGCTTTTCGTGAATTTAATGATCGTCACACCGCTGAACATATTTATATTTTGATTGAGCGTATTTTAATTGAGTATAATTTGATTGATAAGGTGTTTGCTATTGGTTTCGAAAATGCTACTAATAATACTGTTGTTATACCTAGATTGCGTGAATTGTGTGGTGCCAATACTTTGATAGGTATATTTTTTCATCAACGCTGTGCATGCCATGTTATAAATTTATGAGTGCAAGACGGTCTAAAAGCGTTAGGAGATGCTATGGAGGTAGTCAGGGGGGGAGATTAGACATATTTGGGGTAATGGTCAACTTAGATTAAAATGTCAAACTTATTTGACTGAAAGAAGTGTGAGATATGTTGCTTTTCCTAAAGATTTGAGTATTCGTTGGAATAGTACTTATAAATTACTTAAAGTTGTTCTTAGATATAAAGAACATTTTCCTGCTTTTTTAAAACAACATGATAATTATATTATAAACTCGGCTGAGATCGACACTTGCGAAAAAATTTGTAATGTTTTGATTTTTTTAATGCAACCGAAACTTTTAGTCATGTTTATAAACCTACCGCAAACCAATTTTTTCGTGAAGCTGTTAATCTCGCCGGTGCTTTTAAAGAATTTGAGAATGCCGTTTTCGTGAGTTATTTTTGTGATTATATGAAGGAAAAGTTTTTAAAATATTATGCACATATTCCGCATATTTATGGTATTGCATTTATTCTCGATCCTCGTTTTAGACTAGCTAATTTGGAAGATTGTTTCAACTTCTATTATCTTGCTTTTTTTGGTGAATTTCCAATGTATGACGATAACCCCATAGATCCGAAAACGGAATACAACGAGGTTAATGCTTTTCTTTTATGCCTTATTTAATGAGTTTCGTGCACAATATAGCAACACTCCCCCTCCCCCGATACGAACATCTTCATCTAAAGGAAAATAGATTTTTAAATCTGCATTTGGCAATCTTATGAAAAAAACTAAAACAACTCACGTTACTGAACAAAGCGCATTGAATGAGATTACTTCGTATTTAACACATGAAGTTGATTTTGAAGAAAATGATGACTTTGTCGTTCTAAACTGGTGGAAGTCAAAAGAAAGAACGTTCCCGGTTTTAGCACGGATGGCTAAGCAAGTACTATCAATGCCGGTTTCAACAGTTGTTGTGGAACAAGAATTTAGTTCGGCCGGCAACGTCTTGACGGCATCTAGATCGAGATTGAGCGCGGAGTCTCTTGAGACGCTTATATGCTACCACGATTGGTTGAAGGCCGCGCGTAGAACTCAAGAAATGAGCATCACCCCCCCCCAAGAATTTATGGATGACTCAACAACCGATGGTGGCTCTACCTATGCCGGAGATTCTGATTGATTAGTATTTTAGAAATTATTATGAAATGTATTTTGTAGCACTTCTAAAATCAATTTGTACTTGTACTTCAAATTTCAAAATTGTAAACTTGTACTTCATGTCTTCATATTTCAAAGTTGTAAATTTGTACTTGTACTTCAAATTAATTTGTAAAGTTGTACTTCATATTTCAAATAAATATGCGTTCATTTTTTCATATGTAATACTTCTCAAATTAATTAATTGGTTACAAACTTACAACTTAAAATTATTTTTCTAAAATCTAAAGACTGTTTTTAAATTAAAAATACATTTACAATATGTAATTTGTTTAAATACTTATACACCTATTTTGTAACATTTGTAAATGATAAATCAAACCACTTTTCTAAGTAAAAATAGCTTTACATAATTCATTAAATTAATTAACTTATTTTACAATATGTATAATTTTCAAAAAAAAATATTTAAAAATTTTTAAAAAAAACAGCTCCCAAACGGCTATATAGCCGTTGGGGCTTTGGGTGGGGGGCAGGGGGGTCCCGGGTGGTGATGTTGTGGGAAGAAGGGTTCAAAAACATCTATAAATACATCTATTTTCTAACATTTTTCTACACCTCTTCTCCAACTTTTCTTCATCTTCATCTTCTCTTATTATCCTAGATTCCTACTTATACATCTACCATTTTAAAGATGGAAAGTACATCTTCCTTTATGCAAAACAATTTTGATAAGTGGAAGGACCCGAAGACCGGACTGTGGTGGGCAACTTGCAAGTGGTGCAAGAAAGAGTGTAGCTTGGGGCGTTTACACGAATACGGGATGACAATAAAACATATGAAGTCCTGTGACAAAGGGAAAACAACAACCAATGGTGACAGAAATCCCAATTGATATTTATTAGAAAATGTATTCCATATTGTTGCTTTTTCTCAATTCTCAAATGTAGTTCCTATTTCAAATAAATGCACTTCAAATTTTTTTAATAAGAATTTGTATATTCTGTAATAATTAAAAAAAAAAATTATTACCCAGCCCGGCCCGGCGGGTAACCCGACCCGTGACCCGGGCGGGTAGCCCGGCCCGAACCGGCACCGGCCATAGCCCAGACCGGTCCCAAGCCTACCTCTACCTGACCCGAGGCCCGACCGGGCCTAGGCCCGGCCCGGGTCCATCACTAATTATGGCTGTGGAGAATTTTGTAAAATTTTTAGGTTTTAAGATATTTTGACAACCTTAAAAAGGGAAAATGTGCAAATATGTCCCTAAACTCCTGAAGTACACGTGGAGATGTACATATATACTCTTAAACTTCTAATATGCGGAAAAATACTTTTCATGTTCCTATAAATAGCAAATATACCCTTATTCACTTACTAAAAATAAAATAAATAAAATAAATTTTAAAAAACACCAAAAATAAATTACAAATTTAAAATTAAAAATTGAAATTATAGAAAACCAAAGATATGCTATATTCGTCCCGTTGAGATTATCTCATTTTACCTTTTTGATCTGTTCCACTAAAATTGTCTCATATCAAATTTGGTAAAGTTTATTTGGTTAACCAATCTTACTTTTACTTTATCAATTCAATATCAACCACATACATTACTTTTTAGAAAAAATGACATGTATATTACCAACAGAGTTTCACCGGACAAAGACATGACTAGTTTGTGAAATAATGGGAAAGGAGTACTCCAATTGGAGCCCTAATAGATATATTTATAATAGAAGAGTTGCCAAAATACAAAGTATTTCTAAATAGATATTAGGCAGATTCCCAAATATATATTAGGAAGATTCCTAAATATATTAGGCTATTACACCCCCTCAAACTGTGCGAGAGATACAACGCGCAAGTTGTCTTTTAAAAATGAAATTGCGAACAAAAAAACTTTAAGTAAATATATCTAAAGAATCAATGTCTGCAGCAGCAAGCGGCGAACTCAACGGCGCGCTGGAAGCAAGCACCATGGTCAGCGACGCAGAAAAGGTGGGTTGTGCGGACATATGCAGCAGCAGGCGGCGAACTCAACGGCACACTGGAAGCAAGCACCGTGGTCAGCGACGCGGAGAAGGTGATCCGCGCCATATCAGCTGCACTCATCCTCAAAGGATCGCAAACTGTCGTAGATGTGACGGCAGTTGACCCCAAGGCGGCGGCTGTACTAGAGTTCGTGGGAACCGGAAAAAAAAAAGAAAAAAAACTGTATCTAAAAACATAAGCTCTTGATACCATGTGAAATAATGGGAAAAGGGTACTCCAATTGGTGCCCTAACAAATATATTTATAATAGAAGAGTTGCCAAAACAAAGTATTTCTAAATAGATATTAGGCAGATTCCCAAATATATATTAGGAAGATTCCTAAATATACTAGGCTATTATAGTTATGTTTTTGGACAAAAGTGTGATTGATCACTATGTATGAGTAATTGGAAAAGAGTCATTATAGTGTATTTCAGAATGACAAGTCTCTGATTGATGATAAGTCACTGAGAACTAGTCACTAAATAATATGACAAGTCATATTAATTTAGTTGTATTTTTGTCACTTTATACGTATGTTTGCACCTTTCTTTATGGAAAGCCAACCAAAATAGGAATGTAGCAATTCTCCTTGAGCAGAGTGTGTATATTATACCATAAACTGTCTAGTATAAAGTATAAGAGTACCTCGAATGCTATAATGTATTACTAAATTAATAAATTAATTATCTCACATTCCACATGTGTAATGTGCACATTGTAGCATTAGAGATTGTCTAATACTCTGTATATGATACAAACATCAACACCATGTGTTAATAATGGCATCTATTGAGAACAATAATTCTAGATATTAGTCGGCCCTAGGCGACGAGATCATGGACGATCTAATCTTTTGACTTCTCTCAAATTGGCAAGAGTTTTGATGATTGCAATGTCCTCTGGACACTAATGAATCAAAGATTTTGCAATGTTGTCTCTCTTTTTTATTTCTATCTTCTAGGGTTCTGGTTTTGATAGAGAATTATGTTCACTTCATGTTAAAATATTAGCTCTTTGTAACTGAAGCACTTCAAATTCACACCTATTAAAATCATTATTGTCCTTAATAAAATTAAATTCACTATTTTGTAATCCTAGACTATTTATCATCATACAAAATACGTAATTTTAGTGTAAAGAATGCAATTCTTTTTTTACATTGCAACACGCCAACACATACGTTAACACTTTTTTTGAAAGAATCTAAAATATATAGTAAAGTTTTGAAATAATATTTTATAGTAACACTACTAAATTGTGATATAAAAACAATAAAAGTGAGAATTGGACACAAGTACATTTTTAAAAAGTTTTATTTTTAATTTTGAATTTATGATTTATTTTTGGCATTTTTTGAAATTTATTTTATCAATTTTACGTCAATAGGGGTAAATTTTCTCCTTTATAACATGAGGGGTATTTTTGCACTTTTTAAAAGTTCAGGGGTATATGTGCACTTTTACATGTACTTCAGGAGTATATTTGTTCCAAAAAATAGAATATGCGTGTATTTATTCTCACACAGTCACACCCATAATACATGGGTATATTTGTACCTTTTCCCTTCAGAGATATGTGACACCTTCACATATACTTCGGATATATTTACACATTTCTCCCAACAACAACTATAACATTCCATTAAAGAGTGGCATTCCCGCCGTACAGCCGCCTCCATTTGAGGTGCTTCCCGGTGACATTTTTTGATGCAATTTTGTCAACATGTTATTTATGAAGTGTAGATTAATTATGTCCACCAAATTTCAGCTTAAAACTCAATCCGGAAGTCAGTTAAATAAATTATTGAAAAACAGTGCGCTTTTTATATATTTTTTGGCACAATGCCACAATGTTTTTCAACTTACTTCCCTATTGAATTTTAAATTGAAATTTGGTGAACATAGTCTACACTTTATAACGAAACTGCTCGCACAATTTTATCAAAAAATTTCACCGAGAAGCACCTGAAATGAAGGTGCTTAGACACGAGTCACACACCATCTGCCATTACATCTATAAAGTAAATACGGAGTATATTTTTAGTAGGAACCTGCACTATAAAGTAACATTATATATGCATTTGTGTGTTAGACACGAGTCACACACCATCTGCAGTATGGCCATTCTAGAAAAGCCAATGCTTCTTTCGCTGGTGTCGAGTCGGGACCCCTGTTGCATTTCAAATACAGGAAAATGTATATCAAGACTGCAGTAGAAAACATCATTTATATATACTTGAAAGTTAAATCATAGCTAGAGTGATCTTGTTACCTCCATCAGTTTCATACAAAGAATTATAATGTACTTCACTCCAAAAGCTCAGCCATAGTTCTACACTCAAAAGAGAGCTTATAAATCAGGAAAATGAAAGCAGAAAAACAAGAGCTAAATGCCGCTACGATGATCTTTGATGAGTGAAACGTGTAAGAACAAGACGATACACAGACCTTGAAAATCTAGATTTTAGTATATAGATTACCCCAACACTATTAGCATGAGTAAAAATTCCAAATTGTAGCTACCTTGTTGAAGGATGTTGATAGTATATATCCTACTTTGCACCAAAGATTTTTCATTTATGAGTTTTTCATTTATGAGTATAGATAAAGCCAGGGTTTGATATATGCACCACTACTTTCTCCATAGGGTACTAATGTCATAATCCACGATGCGTATGTTCATTTTTCACTATCAATATTGTAATTGGACATAACTATAGCAACTTTATTGATTCATAGCCATCTCATGATATTGTCAACCTACGTGGAAAGAAAACACGGTCATGACAATTCTTGAATTTCATCTCATTATTTCTTTGTCAGCAGGTTGCGACATGAAGGGCATCCGGTGCAAAAAGTTTGCCACTGTGCTTTCACATGAATTTATAGAGTTCACTAATTTTAGAAAATCAACTGACATTATACATTTCATGTCATAATCTCAAAGACACTAATATAGTTGGAAAATGGAAATGTGTACTATATAAATACTCCCCTTATCTTGATTATCCTACTTCTATGAAAGGGACGAAGCCATAACTTCTTCAAGGTTAGATTGACAAATCATGAAGTAAATGGGGGTCGGATGTACGCAGTCTTACCCCTGTACTAAAGCATCGAGAGACTATTTCCGGATGACCCATAGTGAAATTCGCGTCAAACATTGCATGCACTGACTACTACTTCATAATAAAGAAGCGCAGACAGTTTAGTGAGTCATTTTGCTTTATTCCATCATATTCCCCAACCAAAAAATAGTGAGTCCTTGACTCCATTAAAAATGATGGAAGTCTTAATTGTTCAGGAGGAAGTGCACTTTATTTTCAATCGCTTGGAAATCTACCAACTAAATAAATACATGAGTATTAATCTAAATATATAACTTTTGGATCCATTTGGTTCAAAATTAACATCATAACAGGGTGACAGACACATAGCCAAGTTATGAGCACAAGCAGGGTCCATATCGAAAACAAAACGAATTCATGATAATAACTCTGCTTGATTATACCAACACAAAATATGTTCGTTAGGTAGACCATGAGCTCATGGTTACTTACATACATTGTGCTGTTGTGCAGACAATAAGTACATTTTACATAAATACTAACTTCAGTATTTTGGTAATTCCAACTTATAAGAAATGAAGATGAAATAATGACCAAAATAATACCACCATGTTATGGAAAGACAAAAATAAGACTCATTCCAAATTTGGACAAAAATGTGACTGAATTAAATTAAAATGGCTAAGCTATCCCTCATATAGCATTTCCCAGCGCTGCACCTTCCCGTTCCTCTGCACCCTTCCAAAACCTAAAGGTTTTCTTCATCGCTGCTCCGCCTCACCATCCCAAGCCGCCGTTGCTCCTTACCGTACAGGTCGCTGTTCCGCCTCGCCGTCCAGATCTCCGCCTCACCTCACCGTCCAGTTCTCCGCCTCGCCTCACCGTCCAAGTTGCGGTTCAACCACCGCCGTCGCAGTCATACTCGAACAGATCGGCGTAGCATGAGATCGTTCTAGCCAATGAGTGACAAGGCACTCTAGCTACGACCTTCCAGTCCGTTGATTTTTCCCGACCGGAGCTTGAGGATGACCACCAGCGACGCCACCGGAGTTCATCCGACTAGTGGTGGTGATGAGTAAACGACGACGGGTCTTTAGATGGGCGGTGGTGGTTAGGGCAACTGGGGCGGGTGCACGGCTGTGCCTGTAATGGGGTGGGCACCGGTTTCATCTCCTTCTTCGTTGATTATAGAAATCTAAGGTTGCTGCTTGCTGGATTTGTGATGTCACTGGCCGGGTTTGTGAAAATAGGTCACTGGCAGGTCCTGGGGAGCTGGGGCGGGGAAGTAGAAGGAGGGACAGGGGGCTAGTGCGTGGTGGTAACGGAGGGATGAGGTTGGGGCATGGTGGTGCCGGAGGGGCAGGGGCTGGATAAGCCAGGGGATTGGGTGAGACAGGGGATTGGGGTGACACACGGGAGGGGGCTGGGAGAGGCAGGGGCTGGGGTGTGGTGTTGGTGGTCGCCGACGGTGGCCAGAGGTGAAGGTCACCGGCAGACGTGGTTGTCGGCGGTGGGCGGAGGTGGTGTTTGCCGCGGGTGACCGGAGATGGTGTTCGCCGCTGGTGGCCGGCGGTAATTATGAGACCCTGTAACTGTAAATGGTCGAACCCGTTAACGTAATTGATCAAATTGGATAACAATAACGGATCAAATTGATTAACTCTAACTGACGGGCCGGGTAATTGTAACGGGCGGGTCGGGTCACTGTAATTGACCGGTCAGCTAACTGGGTCATGCGGGATAGTGACCAAGTGTCGGATAAGGTCACTGGGGAGACGGGTCACTGGGCGGCGGGTCACCGGGAACGAGGTAATTGTCACTGGCACCGGTAGCGGGAGGTCATAGTGACCGGTGGTGGTCTCTGCTCGGGACGGTCACTGGTGGACTTTTGGTCACTTTTCCATCATTTGCAATAGAGCCAAAGACTCACTATTTTTTGGCTTAGGAATATGATGAGTCACTTAACTGTCTACGCTTCTTTGTTATGAAGCAGCAGAAAGTCCATGCAATTCTCGACGCAATTTCCACTATGGATCATCCGGAAACAGTCTCTCTGTGCTTTAGTGCAGGGGTAAGGCTACGTACATCCGACCTCCCCTTAACCCACCGAAGGTGGGAGCCTTTGCGGTACTGGGGTAATGATGATGATGGTGGACTTTTGCCTTTTGGTCACTGTGACATTACTGTAGCACCTTGGAATGAAATTGTATTAGTATAGGGGTATAAATGTATACTGGTCTCTTAGCTTATTTTTAGTCACATTTTCGGAAACTGAAAAAGGTCACTTTTTTGCATAATCCCAATGAAGATTGTGCCAGTTTCTAATGGGATCCTTCCCACAGTATCCAGCATAGTTGTGGCACTAGGCGCATTTTTAATTCCAAAGGTGTGAGGGGTGAGACACACTCTTTTATTTTGTGCTTTAGTGATGTGGCTTTTGGGATATATACCCTAAAGAGGAGTAAAAATAATGTGGTTTACTTAAATGTGAGTACAATGTTTCTTTCCCTAAATAGGAGTAAGTATTGTGATCAGAAACCATGCTGTCATACTCAAATCACACAACTGCCATCTTTTAATGCCTGTTAATGCCATAATGTGGCTGTATGACTTCTGGACAGCACTACTTTACTCATATGGGGGGGGGCAGAGTACTATTTAGTAAAATCGCCTTGTTTATTCTTCTATTTTAGGGTTTATACTCCTATTTTATGAAATTTCCTGTATGATATTCCTTTTTACACGTCGTGTAAACCCTATGCTTTTGTTCTCATTTATATTCAAAAAAACCAAAAAGCATTTCAGACTAACTATAAAATCTATTGAAGGCGCTACTTAGTTTAGACAAACGTGATAAACGGAGAAGTTGTCTTTCTAATGAGCATGAAATTATCTAAGCATTCAAAAATAAATAGATCATTTCCATTTGAGAGAGATAAAAGAGCAAATGTGCTTTTGCATACATACCTCTTGCAGGATCGATGTCCTTGGGAAGGATCTCAATGTAGCATCTGTCTCGAAAAGATGTGACTAAACATATTTTAGCACAGTACTGCAATGAGAACAATCAGACAATTAGATTTTTAGCAATAACGTAATAGGGAAGAAATAAAACACTACTGTAGTAAATTGAAATGATAATTTACAAACTATATTCAACTAAGAAGTAGAGACTTGTTGACGTCCAACATCAAATTTGGGTGTTATGCCTATATGTATAGACTACAGGGATGTAAATGGTGCAAATTACACATTTACACCAATACCAATCCAGGCACTTCAGAATATCAAAGAAATAGGTTCACCAATTCAAAAACACATACACAAGCATGTTTAAAGAGAATGTGGAGTGCAATGAGAAGAATGGTTAAATAAATAAAGAAAACTAAGGGCTCTGCTTGTTCCCTGCAACATGTTTTTTCCCTAAATTTTCCTGTGTTTTGCACTTCTTTTGCTATACACATAATTCACTGTAATGCCCGTATTTTACATAAAACAACATTGTAGGATAATGTTGTGTTGAAAAAATATTTTCCCAGGAAAAATATTCTCTGCGTCAAATTATTTTCTCGCAATCAAACAGACCATTGAAATGAAAAAGGTAACAAAAAATAAAAACGTACTCTGTCTGCTGCAGCTTGAAGAGTAACATGGTCTCCCCATTCCCCTTTTCTGACAGGCAGTAAAGTGATATTAATGCCTAGTGAGACACAACCAATTGTGTCTTAAGATCAATAATACTTGAAAAGTTTATCTAACCTCTTCATTTTCTTCAGGTAGCTTTCGTATTTCATAGGAACATAGCCTTCATATAGTGTTCTGAAATGTTTTAGCTGAAAACAATTTAGAAGCTAAGGCCCCAGATTACACAACAGCCACAAATCTGGTTGTTACTGAAATATGGATGTGCAAGACTATAAGCTTAGAGAAAGTTTAGGATAATGGTGGGATGTGATACATATGCTGCCTATGCTAAGTAATTAAGCACCAAATGACACTTCATAATTTTATAACTAGTGTATGATGATACACTCATTAGTACAATTTTATGTCGTATAAGCAGTGGACGACCAAACATAAGTAACTTATGTGTTACAAGTCCCTTGGAATGAAGGGAGGGAGGTATTGGGGAAGAAGAGAGGGGAGAAGGAGTTGCAGAGAGAAGCAACAACAACATCCAAAAAGAAGGGTGGGGTCGGCTAACATAACCCGATCCATGATATCGATGCCAAAAAGAGAAGACAGAAAAGAAGAAGAAAAAAAGTAAGATAAACCGAATAAGATAAAGATAAATAAATACTGTATAAGATAACGATAACATAAGAATATAAGAAAGATAAAAGATAAAAAGATAAAAGAGCATTAAAAAGCTAGAAGATATAAATAACATAAGAACATAAATAGATAAAGAAGATAAACGATAAAAGAAACACAGAGAGGAAAAATAGAAAAGAGATCAATTGTCCACATAAATGTGCGCCCTCCAAATTGCTCTATTCAAAGTCATACTCTAATCCAAGTTTGTTTGGGTCTTTCCCTCCCTCTCCTCTCTGTCTCTTCTCCCCATTCGTCAAGTCATCTAACATGTGCATCACTCGATCTTCTACGCACATGCCCAAACCACCGCAAATGAGACTCCTTCATTTTATCTTCAATAGGTGCTACTCCCACTTTTTGTCTGATTATCTCATTGCTCAAGTGGTCTTTTCTGGTATGTCCACACATCCAACACAACATACACATCTCTGCCACACTCATCTTTTGAATGGGACATTGTTTCACCGCTCAACACTCTACACCATACTCTAATGCAGGCCTAATTAATGTTCGATAAAATTTACCTTTCAGTCTAGTCGGCATACCTCGATCGCATAGAAATCCTGATGCACTCTTCTATTTCATTCACCCAGCTCTGATTATATGGATACATCTCCATCTAATTCATCATGCTTCTGAATTATGGAGCCCAAGGAACATAACATATCACACACCAATATCTCCTTACCATCAAGAGTAATCCCACTGTTGTTAATACTTCTACCTCCATCAAACTTGCACTCCATATACTCAGTCTTGCTTTGGCTCAGTCTGAAACCATTGATCTCCGATGTTTGTCATCATACTTCCAATTTTGCTATAACACTCGACTCCGTCTCATCAATCAATATAATATCGTCGGCAAACATAATGTCCAACGGTATATCTTCTTGAATTGACTTTTTAAGTTCATCCAGGGAGAAGGGGAAAAGGAAAAAAAGGGAATGAAGAAGGGGGTACGAACCATAGAAAAAAGAAGAAGAAAGAAATAGAAAAGGGAAAAGAAGAGAAAAAGAAAGGGAAAAAAAGTACAAAAAAGTTTAAGTGGCATCCACGTCAGAAACACAAGGGGTTACTGGTTAGTGGTTGTTTACGGGTTAATTGTTTCCACGTGGAAACAATTAACTTTTTCGAAATAGTACGTGGACTGATTTGACAATTTTTCCATGTTTTCTATTTTCTTCAAGTCGTTTTCACCGTCTTTTTGGATTGAGGTTCAGATCTTAGGAGTTGAAATTGGATCAGGAATAGCTGCTAGGATTTTCCATGGTCTATTCAATAATATTGGCAGCCAGGTCTAGCCCCTCTTCAGTATTTTATAACAAACTCCTCACGTCCCTCAAAACAAGTTGAAATATCTTACCCAGAAGAAATTCTCTGAGATCTTACATCAGTGCATGTTTTTAAGCAACATGATATGGTCTATTACATTCATTAAGCATCGTCATACTTCACCAAGAAAATAAAGGGAGCATCATCACAACCTTAATCGCAATTATGTTGGGATCGGTCTCATGAAATTTGGTCTCGGTGAATTGTCTAAAATCAGTTAGCACTATAATAAAGGGAAGCCCGGTGCACACTGGCGTCCCGCAAGGCGAGGGTCTAGGGAAGGATCCCACAACAAGGGTGTATAAGGATCAAGCCTTCCCTTGTCATTTTAGCACGAGGCCACTCCCAAGACTTGTACTCGTGACCTTTCAGTCACATAGCAACATCATAACTGGTGCGCCAAGGCTCCCCTTCTAAAATCAGTTAGCACTATAAAGTAGTAAAATCATGCACCATAGCATAGTGTGATTAGTGTCAACGATTATTGCAAGATCCTTCTTATTGCTACCCTCTAAAGAAGCAAAAATTGTAACAATAACACATAATACAGAAGTTAGATCAAACACCTAAAGCTGTATGAGACCTCAAATGAAGTTTCCAATCAATACATGTTTAAAGATGAAGCTGAGAAGTCAGAAAAAATAATATAATCACACCTGTTTGACAACCTGCTTTCTTACATACTTATGGTGATCTGGATTTTGAAAAATTTGATCTGCAAGGGCTCGGAACTGTCCAATGAGGTATACAGTGACAAAGACATAGTAAGTAAAGAGACAATTCATGATGTTTTTGCAAAACTATAAGACAGCAAATGGCACACATGACTGCATAATGAAATATCTCCAAAAGTCATGTTAAAGAGACTAACTTGGCAATTCCCATCTCCTTCCATTTGAACTTCTGTGAGATGATATGTTGCCAACCTGAGTGATCATTAAAGATGTTGGAAGTTTTTTTTATGACATTGCAAGAAACACAAACTCTTGCATCACCTCTTATGCAAATGAGAATTATGTAAATGAAGAAAAAAGTATCAAGTTGCCTTCATATGAGAATTATGTAAGTGAAGGATAACCTGAACTACCTATTATGAAGTAGCATACAACCATTGCTGCAATAATTGTTAAGAGAACTTGATAAGTGATGCCAACAACAACATTATCCCAGTGCCGCAAAGGCTCCCACCAACAGTGGGGTAAGGGCGATCGGATGTACGCAGTCGTACCCATGTACTAAAGCACAGAGAGACTGTTACCGGATGACCCATGATGAAAATCGTGTCAAAGAATGCATGGTTGCCCGCTGCTTCGTAAAAAAGAAGTGCAGACTGTTTACTCAGCCATTTTGTTTTATTTCATCATATTCCCAAGCCAAAATATAGTGAATCTTTGGTGCAATTGGAAATGATGGAAAATAGAGAAATGATACATGATGCCAATATTGGGAAATTATACTAACAAGACAATCACATGCAAAAGTTATCAAACTCCCAGAGGATGCTGGTCCTCCAATCATCTCTTAAGTTCAGGGGCTTCATGCCTCCACCAAAGGAACTATACACATAAGAAACTCACTCATTTCAATGGCTCACATCAGAATTGAGAAAAAATGTTTAAAGATCACGTGATTTTCTCACCATAATATTCACTAAATATTCAAGTAATATGTGGTTCAATCACACATATTTTTAGCTAAAATTATCCAATCCAAGTGTCTGTAGACTGCATATAATCACTTCACAATCCCATTTTTCTAATCCTAACCGTTCGGTAAGATATGTTTAGCTTAAATGACTAAATTTTATCAAATAAAAGTTATTTTATCAAATAAAAGTTAGAGCTTAATAGCTGACTATACTGAAGAACATATAGTCCATATTATATGGAGTCCACGCGAAGATCAGGATGCAACATGGAATAAAAGTTGTCGTGAAAAGCTGAGACGGAACTTTCGGAATAGAAAAAAATAGGGATTTTTACTAATATGTGACTAAGGATGGGAGTCACCATTTTTAGTTTTTAGAAAACAGTATCACAACACATATCAATTAAGGGAAAACAATGTATAAATAAACTGCACTATGGGCAACCTAGGATGTTCAAATCAGGAAAAACATTGTCTTGTTCAAATCAGGAAAAACATTGTCTTGTTCAAATCTTGAGAATTAAACCATCTCTTAATCATACATGTAGTAAGGTGATCCAAATTAAAGTTTACTACCAACTTTATACATGGAGCATACTTTGGTAACCATTCACTCAACCCCCCTAGTAAAACAAGCAGAGTAATGGGTTACCTTTCAGAAAGCCTTGCGTGGTCTAATGTGGCATCATTAGTATCAGGTATTGCTTGAACTACCCTTGGGACGTGCTGCCAGTATTGTTAATACAATATAGCCTTAGAAAGATAGGCAATGTAATTGTGCATTTAACAGTTTTAAATTTTAATGTTGTCCATATATACATCTCCCCAAATACAATCCCTTGTACCATGGCAAAGAGTTGTGCCTTACTCCCTAAACTTAGATATAAACTTTTTACTTTCTCTTTCAGTCACACTGTTCCAGAAAAAAATGAAAATCATTTTTAACTCTGATATCATTAATTTACTCGAACATACCGCAATTGAATCTAAATGAGAAAGCCTCTTTCCAAGCTTGCTTGTGTACTTCAAAGAAGTTTCCTCCTCCTCAGCTAATATTTTAGCAATAGTATGATCATCCTGCGTACCCAATGAACTGCTTTTCAAGCTAGCACTCGAAATAGAGCACGATGAGCTGGCCCTTGAAATCCCAGGTTGCTCATTCATTGTAAAATCGGAGTACAAAGCAATCCAATGACGAAAAGAGTAAGAGCACCTACATGATCCCACACACATGCCAGTGAATTATGTATGTATAATGAAAGTGGGGAAAACCAGCCAAATGAACAAATGAACATTCTACAAACTAGATGCCGATCAACTTTTTGCTTGAAATCTTCAAGGAATATCAAGCAACCTTTGTTCAGGTAAGCAGCTAGAGCCTTCTTCTAGGGAGTCAAGAAACCCGAACTGCGAGTTGATTTAAATAAAATAAGTGAAGAAAATGGACGCAAACCAAGAACAGAAGCTGGATTGCAATAAAAGCGTCTGTACTCTGTAGCTTACACGCCAGAATTATATGAAGGCAGACAGCTTTGGTAAACAAACAACGCCCTATACCAACACAAAGCGTGTGACACGGATATATACGGAACAGTATCTTATTACAGGGCTCCCTCTTTTACCAGGTCAGTCAAAAGTTGGCAGAGGATAATGGCAAACAATGGCGGAAATCTCATGTGTTATTTTAGCTCATAAAGACGCAGTACCATGTTTGGTTTTTTCAGTTACTGCCTGTTTGGATTTAGTGTTGAGGAGTGTTAGTAATGGAAGTGTTAGTAAGTGTTGATGCTAACACTTGTTTGGGAGAAAAATCCAGAGGTGTTAAGAAGTGTTAGTAATGGTTAGGAAGTGTTAATAATAACCTTCCCAACACCTCAATTGTCCATTTTTTTAACACCCCGATTTGGAGTGTTTTGAGGTGTTGGACAATTATTACCCTTCTCATTTACCCGAAAAACATAAAATGCTTCGACATTTCACTTCGAATGTCTTTCCCACGAGTCTGATGGTTTGTTTTTTCATCTCTTCTCTTTACTCGTTTCTTTTGCCTCAAGGTAAAATTATTAACACTTCCATTATTAACACTTCATTTATTTGACTCTCCCAAACAAGGTAAAATTATGTCTAACACTTACACTTCCCTTCCCTTCCGAGCCCTTACTAACACTTACTAACACTTCCATTACTAACACTTCCAAACACTCCATCCAGACAGGCCCATGGGTTTTGACCCAGCCCGAATAGGGGTAGGACTGTTAAGGAGCCGAGCCGAGCCCGAATACCTAAAGCTCGAGTTCGGCTCGATAAGGAATTAATGGTGTTCGGGTTCGAGCTCGAAACTCGGCGAGCTTTACAAATGAGACTCGTGTTCGGCTCGATAAGCATTCGATGTTCGAACCGAACGCTCGATAGATATGGTCGAATTTAAAATTTTAGGTGATGCTCGTTAATAGGCTCGTGCTCAAATGATTCGACAAGTATTCAGTTCCTTAATAATCAGATTTAAATTCATAAAATCATACTAATTATATTTAAATTTTGATTATATATAAATTAAATTTATAATTTCAGGTTGTTCGATAGGCTCGAGTTCGAACCGAGCCGAATACTACTATGTTCGAGCTCGACTCGATTAATTTTTCGAACTTAAAACTTGGCTCGGGTTCGAGTTCGAAAACTCGTTAAGCTCGGCTCGTTAGGTTTGAAACTGAGCTCGAACTCGAATAGTTTCATAAAAGCTCGGTTCGTTAACAGCCCTACCCAGAACCAAACATCAAACATCAGTTTGGTTCGATCTTGAATTCGGTTGATTTGGTTTGTTTGGATTCATTTAGGGGGTGTGTTCATTTCAGACGTTTTAGGGTTTATGAAATCTGAGTGTATTTAAATAAGACATTTTATAAATCATAATAATTGAAAAGGTTGTATATAAACTTGAATGATTGGCATCTCCTCTCTAGGGTTTCGCAGCCCTTAGAGCTTTTTTTCCGTCTTCGGTTATACGTAAGACGGCTGGGTTTCTCCTCGGCGATCTTCATCTCCGGAAGTCTGCTTCCGTTGTTTGGTGGAGTCGAGCGAGGTTTCGTTGTTACTTCAGTGTTGATTTGCTGATCGTGAGGTCGGGCGGAAACAATTTTCTTTTGTCGAGGTGGAGGGGTCGACAGAGAAGAAGATGGTCGTGAGGGGTGATGTAGCTACGAGTGCGGGACGAGGAGTGTTGCAAGGACTTCGAGTAGGCTAGATTGCGTTCGACAATGGAGGATCAATTAGCATGGTACCGGTGGTACGACCTCCTCCTGAACCACCACCATGAGTTGTACGAGGTGTTAGAGTCTGTGAAAGTTTTCCTAGTAATTGTCATCTATTTGTCATTTGTTTTCTTGTGTCCATCTTTGTTGTTGGTTTTGTCACGCCCGAGACCTATTGGACACATCAACAACCCGCCGTACAGTACGAATAGTCAACCGCAGTCCAACACATCCATACTATACAAGGCGTTTTGAATACCATTCACACATAGTATATCCATAAACAAACATAATGTAAAATATTCATTTAAAGCAGCGGAAACTTTAATACAAGTGTTCAAGCCACACTTGACAAACTTGGACATACAAACCCCCAAATAATTATTCAGAAAATAATATCCACGAGCATTTAATGTAATTGTTTTTAAAACAGATACGGAGGAAGCACGAACCACGTCTTCTCTCCTCAGATCTTCCCGAAGCAACGGGCGATGGTAGCAACCTTTAAGTTCTGCCTGGAACTGTGAGGTGGCATCCCCCGTGAAGGGGAGGTCAGTACTTTGAAACATTTGAAAAGTACAATGACAACTATACTAAGTATAATCAATGTTTCAATTTCAAAGACCCTCAAATAGAGTGTTATTATGTTATAGGCCGTAACACTTAGTCACTCTATTTAAAATATACTTACTTTATATATAAAGTCAAGTAGTCGGCCTGCAGGCCCATGTTCACTTGAAAACATTTTCTCTAGTTCCTATAACCATTAGTCACGACACTTATAGTATTCAACGCATTATAATTGCATAGCAAGGGCTTGGCCCAACTACACTTCTATGCAATCCTTTATCTCGACATTCAACACATTATAATTGCATAGCAAGGGCTCAGCCCAAATACATTTCTATGCAATCCTTTAACTTGAAATTTAATACATTATAATTGCATAGCAAGGGTTCGGCCTAACTACATTTCTATGCAATCCCAATTACATGGCAAGGGCTCGGCCCAACTACGTTTCCATATAAATCTTGGCAAGGAGAAATTTCATAGCTTAAAGAGCCTACACTTGCATATTTTAACAATCAGCAACACACTTACATGCTAATAAAAGATTGATATATTCTGATTTGTGAATCTTGGAAAGGGACTGCTTGTTGTAATCTTTAATCTCTGAAGTATGAACATTCAACTTGAACCCAGAAGAACTATTGCTCCACTGATAAAAAAGAAAGACGATGTTACTCTATAATCTACTACATACAAATTCATGACAGCAATTCATAAATTATCCTTGCAAAGAGAAAAACCTGTTCTCATAAGATTGAGGATGAGTAGACAAAAACTTCCTGGGCACTAAGAGGGCAGCCCACATGCACAATGCTTAACGTATAATTAACTTAATAACCACCTACAAATGAAAGGAAAAATAATAAAAATTTGTAAAAGAATTACTCAAAAGAGCAAGGGAGGTGGAGGAGTATAACGACTTTTATTTTTCTCGGCTTTCGTGTCAAAAATGCTTTTACCTTTTTAATTACACAAAAAACATTTATTTTACCAAACACTACCAACTTTTACTTTTCAAAACCTTTTTTTCTCAAACACTATCAACTTTTATTTAATCGCTTCTCCCAATTTCATTAAAAAAATCATTTTTTTTTAAATCAGAAGCTGTTGCAAATTACAGACTATCGAATTTTTAATATTCAGTTTAACCGTTTAGTAGATTAAATTACAGACTTATTTCCAGAATTTCAGATTAATGGTTTTTAGGGAGGGTTTGCTAAGTTTGTTTAGCTTTTCACACTAAATTACAACCTTATTTAGTTTGTTAATGGTTTCCATAATTCCAGATTAATAGTTTAGCTGTTAATACTATTTCTATAAATTAGTATTTTTTGAGGGAAGACATTAAGACATTTAACTCTTTAAGCCTTTCACTAGTACAAAATAAGCATTCTATAACTAACATTTAATATGGGTTGGTTTAGAACCGTTACCGTATGATAACACGGGGTCTGAATCATAATTAATAAAAGTTTCATCTCATAGGACAGGGCAAATTTATAAAATAAAAATACTATCAATAACGGTTACTAATTTAACCCGCTATAGAAAGTATATATGGGGTCATATTCCTAAATCTCAAAAGCTTTGATCCGGCACGGGGTCATTTTTTTAATTAAAAAAATATACTTTCAATGTCCGTTTACTTGTAACCCTTATTGATAGTGTTTTAAAATTAACCCCTGCGGCCAGGCCTTACACTTCGTAAATGAGAAGGGTTTTGAAAGGAGCCGCACACTTACGAAATTAAAGCCTCAGCAGCAAGAGAGCAGCGAGAGAGAGCCTACCGACGACCACACTCCGCCGTATCCACACCTCCGCCGTATCCACACCTCCGCCGTATCCACACCTCCGCCGTATCCACACCTCTGCCGTATCCACACACCTCCGTCGCTCCTTCTTTCAACGTTTCATCTCCTTCGCCAGAGGTCGTTTTTCCAACGGGTAATTTTCTTACACTGGTATTTGTGATATCTTTGCTAAAGTTTAACATCCTGAAGAGGTGTGTTAGAAAGTTGTTTAATCTGAAAGTTGTTCAACGTCCACACACATCATATCTTACACTGGTCGTTTTTACACATCAATTTACTTTTCACAATCGATTCATGTATATATTTCACTGGTATCAGTTTAATTTCGTTTTGATTTATGAAGAACCTGGAAGATTTTTAGGTTTATGTTTTTAGTTGTCTAATGTCTGTTACCTATTTGTTAAAATGTCTCAATGAAAACCCAAGGGCTGAGAGCATATATAGCACTTGTATTAAAGCCTAATTTATCTCAATTAAATTAACTAGTTAGTATTATCCGTACATACATTAAATCTGTAATCATCCCCTGGCAGGTTGTTACTTGTACGTATCTCATTAGGTTGTTACATATTACTAGCATGACTCATTTGATTAATAACAAGAATCATTCTCGACTAAAAACAATAATTGTATATATTGGCATGCCTATTTAGTTGGACGCCATTCAATGCTTTCCGACTCTTCAATTCTTGTGTTTGTTTATTATTATACCAAACAAACTAATGCCTTTACTCTCCTCACTTACTTCTCTGTTTTGCATTTAACTTACCCCACCTCACTTTTTTAAAAAAAAAAATATTTACGTACGACCAGTGTTTTAATTCTGTATATATACACAGAAATCCACTGCTTCGTATCACTGCGGATTTTTTTGGTGGCTCACAAAACCATTCTTCTAAGAAATTCTGATTCCCCCCCCCCCCCCCCCCCCCTTTCATTACTTAACGGCGTCAAGAGCATTTTTGAGACCATTCTTTATGTGTTGAAGCATGAAATCTTTTTTAGCTTAAGGTTGTATACAGTTTTAGCTTAAGGTTGTTTTTTCCCTTCAAAGTTTAGATAAAATATGTTAAGTTTTACTTGGTTATTTTTTAGCTTTGA